GCTTGAAGTTCGAGTCGTGGAACCGTCAGCATCTTCAACGGAGCTACTTTTGATCTCGCTGCTACAAGACTAACCTCAGGACCCTGTGTAGTTTCGACCCGGAAATACGCAGCACATGCATATTTGAGATCTGCTTGCGTCTACGAATATGTGGACTTGCAAAGATGAATACGTTTCCTCAACAGCGTCTGGAAAATAGCATCTTGGGATTCGCAGAGTGTCCAGGTTTGGAACGAGATTGATCCAGTCGCAATCTCAGCTTCTCGTTGATTTGATCATCCCAACCAATACCTGCGGCCCATACATCCTGCATCAGTATTCTTCCGTGGATCAGGAAAAACGCAATTAATCCCATTGGATCGAAGAAGCTCATTACTGTGCGTAAGACTTCTCGTTTCGTTGGGATATGAGACTCATCCAGAACATGCTTCAGGTTGTCTCGCAAGGAAATCGTACAGGTAAAGGTGCCACTGCTCGGTATCCACTTCATGCCTAATACTGACTCGATTCGTTCATCTTTTTCCGCTCGGATATCCTTCGCCGCTGCCGTTGATTGATCTCCCACTTGCGCTGCAATCGCTGGATCGTTGGACAAGAAGTTACGGATCTCAAACCCTCCTTTGGCGTGAATTTTCCTGATCTCGCTGCCAATCTTCATTGCTTCCTCCACAGTTCCGAAACTATCCAGGTAATGACCGCTGATGCTCGTGGGAAATCCGCTTCGAACTCTTTTGCGTTCAAGTTTTTGATGTACTGAGCGCACCTCGGCGAGCACGAAGCCCCGAAGATAGCTACGTTCATGACGTAGATCGCCGGATCTTGACCTGAACGGTCTCTGAACAGGGATCTCAGAAACTGACGATCCTGAATCCGTATGAAGAGCCGATGGAACATTTCCTTAATGTCACCGGTTAGAGCAAAACGGTACAGTCGAAAGTTGCCAATGACCGACGGAAGAGATGTCAGGAAATCAGGACCCTTCAGCAATGCCGAATTGAGTGAAACACCATCGACCGTAGCAGCTGCATCCCAAATGATCCTCAACTTGTTCGGTTTCTTCGGGTTCAGGACAATGCCAAGTGGCAAGTACCAGCATTGATCTGGATCGGTAGTTGACAATTCATAATCGGTAGCCTTGTGCGCATATCCCTTTGCTTCGTAGTCTCGTATCTGCTGCCGAACTCGATAATACAGAACAGGATCTTTATTGAGGCGCCTCTCAAGTGAGCACATTCGTTTGTTCGCCATTCTATAGCTGCTTGGAAACCGCAAGTTGTCCCACTTCCAACGCAAACCCATTTCGAAACCTCCGTCGACTCTTCCGGTAGTAGATTCCAGAAGCGTCTTTGCTCGCTTATCTTCATCGGATTCCAGCGGAGTAGAGGGGTGTGATACGCCGATGTTGTCCAGTGTGATGTAATCACGAACTAGTTCGTTTAGTTCTTGCTCTGGATCGGTCCATCCTTCAACATGAAACCCATAGACAACTGTTGATTGCGGCTTTGACGTACATCCGTAGATGCTTCACCCAATGCGGCTCTGGCTAGCGGATATCTTCTAGACATTTCGCTGTAGTCCATATTTTGCAAGGGAAGCAACAATCCGTCGACGGTACGCGCATTCACCGGTTTGTACTGCTTCGAAAATCCACTACCGGAAATCTGAGCACTGATCCGCCTTGAATTTGGTTCGCTGCGCTTAATGTTACCAGTCCATTGTAAGTTCAGCGGCTCCGTAGCTCCCTCTGTTCCAAGTTGATCTGCAACCGACTCCTCCAGCAAAGTTATCTGCGACCCTTCATCGACGAAAGCATAGATGTCCACCTTGCAGTTCTTCCCATATGACGTAACAGGAATGATTCTGAAAAGTGGTCCTCTTAATGTCTTCAACTCGCTAAGATGACTTGTTGATACGGCTGCCTGCACGATTGTGCTTGAGGAATGTAAAAGAGAATGGTGTTTTAGTCGGCAATCGTTGATACCGCATTGCTTCGCTGTCTTGCACGGCCATTTTCCATGGTGATTCAAACACGACCTGCATGTACTCTCTAATGTACCGCCTTCAATCTTCCGTCGATATTCATCGATTTGAAACCTGCCGCATTCCGAAACCCGGTGTCCTTCTGCTTTGCACACCATGCACGGTTTCTTCGGTGTTCGCCAACCTGCTGAAGTGTTGCTGCCGATTGGTTTGTTCATGGACGACGATTCTGGCTCTGCGTGTGTCTGGACAAATGAACGCTCCTTGACTTTCGACTTCTGTGGCTTTGCACATGGGAAGTCACCCGCTACATCGTAAGCAAGTTCTACCAAATTTGACATGAATATTCCAAACGTACTCAAGTTCACATCTTGATTCCACCAATTGAGTCGATAATCAACAGGCAATTTGCCCACCATGTCATGTAACAGTGATGCGTTGGATAGATGTGCCTGATGTTCCACGTTCTCAAGATGCTGAACCAAATAATCCACCGCCAGTCCGAACTCAATGATACTCTCTACATCATTTGCCTTCAGCGGTGGTAACTGCCGAACTCGCTCTGTCATGCTACGAATGAGTGTTTCTGATCGCCCGTACCGCATCTCCAAGGTTTTAATGACGTGTGGTACGCTTGTGGGACAAAGTAGTCGACTGCGCACTGCTTCAAGGGCTGAGCCCTTTAGACAGCGTTGAAGGCGGATGAGATTTTCGTCGTCGGAGAAACCGCAAGTTGTAGTAGACCTCTGGAAGTTACTGATCCATATTGGCCATTTTTCCGGATTACCCGAAAAAATCGGTAAGTCCTTCCCCATCACCTGCCTGACAGCCAGCTGTCGATTTGTCGGGCCATCTGTGTAATCGTCTTCTTTATCGCTCCTTTGGTTGGTACGCGCATTACTACACGACACCGGTTGTCCATTTCTGCAACCAACTCCTGTCTCGCTTTGGCCGTTTGCCGTCTGATTGCCCCGAAATTCAACCGGATGCACTGGAATGTTTCGTTGTTCGTTTCTGTCGGTAATAGGAATCAACACTTCACCCATATTCAACGAACGACTTCCATGACCACCTCCGTCAAGTGTAGCCAAAAAGTTGAATCTGTCCAAGTCTTTCGTTCAGAGAGCCAAGGGCCGGGAGGGACTGCATACGTACAAAGTGCAGAAGGCTCCAAATCGTGACAAACGGCAAAATACGGTGGGAAAGTCACGGGCTCGGAAACTGTACACCCAGATGCTGACGAAGCCTCATTGTCTCATCATGGATGATGAGACTTACGTCAAGGCGGACTTCCGGCAGCTTCCGGAGCTACTGTTCTTGACCGCCCACCACAAGTTTGATGTTCCGGAGGAAGAAAAGAAGCAGACACTTTTAAAGTTTGCCAAGAAATACATGATTTGGCAAGCGATCTGCTCATGTGGCAAACGGAGTGCGCCATTCGTGACTTCCCGGACTGTACCTCCACGAGGGCCCTACGATCTTCTAGTCGGATCTAACTTCGTGCCACTATTCAAATGTTGTCCTGGAGTGGTACGAAGCAAGCGCACCTGAACTAAGGCCCATCGAAAAATACTGGGCTATTATGAAGCCCAAGGAGGTCAAAGCTGAGGAAGACATGCAGAAAAAGTGCCTTTCCGTACAGAAGAAGCTGCAGTCAGATGTTGTACAGAACCTAATGAGTGGAGTTAAGCGTAAGGTGCGAGCGTACGGTTATGGTATTGAAGTTGAATGATGCAATTTGATCTGGGCCACCCTTTACCTCTATTGGTACTCTCTTCGGCTAATGGAGCTAATCGATGCACCTCTCGAAACATAGGAAAGTCCACGAACCCCTCATTTTATCTGTCAAGCTTTCATAGCGAATTAAAACAAACATAGTGTAGTACTAGAATTTCGACTAGAATGGGCCATGTTCAACGATGTATATGGGGTAGTCCAGTGTGAGGCAATTTTAAATCGTTATTTTCCACCGGTTGGTATTACTGATGCATCTTTTCAAAAACATATGGGAATTCGGGAAGTGAACCATATTGTTAATTTATAATATTTGGTACGATGCTACTAATGCAAAAATGGTGGAGGCAGGTTAGGTTAGGTTTTTTTTTATTAAGGAGTTTTTCAGCCTTGGGCTGGTTCGCCTCCGCTGGTAGAGGCATCGAAAGCTCTCAATTAATAGCTATGGAAGTGTATCTAGAACACTAAGTTGAGAGCACACAATAAACTAATATGCGATAAACAATAAGCTTTAAATGCGTTGAAGAATAAGACACTATGCTTCTAGGGATCTGATCGGCATAGCTCCAAAATTAACTAGTTTTGAGATTTTAAACGAAACGCTCTTGTGTCTAAAAAGTACTATGTTTACGTTGGCCAAACTATCAAAACCATTACTAAGTGCTGCTTTACAATCACTTGTATCACTTGTATTACTTACAATTACTTTTGTTTTGCAATCATTTGCTAAATGAAATATTTTCTAAGGGATGCCTTAAATCTCCTGCTCCTCTCCCAATTGAACCAATTATCTCACGACCGGCGGTAATTCAGAAACCAAACAATCAACGAACAAATATAAGGCTATTGTTCCGAAATTTGATTGCCTTTTTCCAACGCCCTCTTCCGCTTTATTTATGTCCCCTCCGTTGAAATTTATAACCGGTAATTTGTACTATTTGCATTAAATTCCGCAGAACAAGGATCCACGAGTGTTGAAAAGCCAATTCACCCCATCCTCCTGTTTTTTTTTTCATCGCAGTATCAACACGCCTCCAGTTCGATTGTATCGCATGTTAAACGATTCATTAGCTGCCTGTATTTTTGCCTGCCGGGTGACTACGACACGATGCGGTGGTGGCATCCAATCGATATAATATTTCAATTATTTTCGGACCGTGAGTCTTCTCCGCCCTGTTCCACCCTCATCCCCGCCATAACAGTTTTCAAGTAGCCGATAAATCAAAACGTTCAATTCATCTGTTTTTTCTCGCTTTTCTTGTTTTCCCATTTCTGTTTCGTTTCAGCTGTCTCAGTCCACGTTCGGCGTATTTCTACGAATTTCCACCTACAGGTAAGTGTCGAGTGTGGGGGGTTGTTTCCGATTCATTGATACGCGCGCGGTCAGTCCATTTCGGGTGATTAATTGGTTGGCGGTGGCCTTCGGAAAGACTTCGATTGCAGCGATGAATGGACAAAGTTCGCTTGCACAGAATCCCGTTGAATAATCCAGTGCCATTTTGGAATTTGAAAAAAATGGACAAATATAGATCTGAAATTATGATTCACGAACCAAATCTTAGAATTGAATTAATAGTCTAGCAAACGTTTATCCCTCGATAACTTTTGGAGCAATTATCGTTCAGAGAAGCCAACCATTAAGGCCTGCTTAGTATTCAATTACTTCAATTAATTTGCTGGAAGCAATTCAGCAATCACCATTTTCCGTCACAATCAATGACGCGTCATAAATCGAGTTAAATGTACGCAATCTTAAGTGGAATGGTTTTATTATGATTATTGAAACATCACGAATGGTGGCGGAATGGTTATGCTAATTTTGGATCGTTTCGCTCCACAACCGCTCACAGCTACCAAATTCGAGGTGTCCCAATAATATTGGCTTAATCCTACACGGCAACAGCAGCAGCACCCGTGACGAAAATGATAAACATCTACCACCTTTAATGCCTCGCCCCGAAACCCGACAATGGACTGTCGCGAGCCGAATCGATTTCAATGTGCACCTCCAGCAGCCTCATCAGCTTAATCTTCATTTCATCTATTTTTGTCTTCATTTCTCCCATATTTGGCAGACGGTCGCGAGACGAGCAAAAAGCGCACGACGCTGGCGCGACTTTTGAGAGGATTAAAGACTGTTAATAGACGTGATAGATCAAATCAAAACAACGGCACCGGCACCAACAATGGCACCGGGAGCAACGCCGCCGGATCAGCGACGCAGGCACGGGTAAGTCTTAACTTCTTCTTATTCGTAAATGAGAACGGAACGAAACGAGATGAAAACGAACGGAATGGGAATGAGGGGGCGGGTGTATTATTACCACCATGCATAACGGTAAGCCAGTGATAATCAGCCATTTCGAAAGTTGATTTGCATTTCGTGTGAGGATTTTGTCGAGACGTTCCTCGAGGGTTTTCCGGTTGTACAGCTATTTAATAATTTGCTCGGTATAAATCCGAACAGTTCTGGTCCTTTTGTCGGGGTAAACATTCGCGCCTTGTCACGTACTGAACGAGTACGTTTCACATGGCCATGAACTTGGCGATCTCCCGACGAGCGAAGGTACCTACTTGTCATGGGAGCTCTGGGTCGGAGCACCCTTTTCCTATGCATAATTGATATGCAGTCATTTTATACGCCAGCAGTGATGTAACAAGGGCTGGCAGGAGCATGAATTTTGTCTAGATTGAAATTTTTGACTGTTATCATTGTAAGAATTTTTCCAGTCAAGAATCGAGAATCACAACACGATCAGTGTTGGCAAAATCATCAATCAAATTATATTTTTCCGCTCTCATACGGTCTTAATATCACGCGTGATATTGGAGCAAAATATCATGTTTGATAATGATTTTACAAGCTCCTTTGATAATGCGAGACTATTCACAACGTGCAAAAATCAAGCTGAGAGTTGACTCGACACAAAAATGATTCCGTTGCACATCGTTTTCTTAGAAAGAGAAAGCATTGTTTGCTATCTCTTTTTAATCTTCACCGATGGCAGACACGAAGGGACTGCTTCAAGCCGTTATGGAAGTTTCGGTTGCGTTCGGGTATAAAGCAAAAATCATGAAACTCAATCTCACCACAGTTTGTTGACATTTGCAGCTGGTGAGCACAAGCTAACAATTGTAAAATCAACCGCAGTTGTTTGTTTGTTGATTGTTGTCCACGAAAATCAAGCGTGATCTTGAGCATTGGTGAGAATTGACTTTTTTTTTTCTCAACACTGATCACAAGACTCAATGATCAACATTTTCAAGAATCACATGCTTGAGCTTAAAAACCATACATATCGTAGCTGCTACTTCATGATTGACGAAATTAACAAAAATTGCTAAATGAATTAAATTAGTGTAACTTGGGCTTAGCTACACACTACCAAAAAGTCATGTAAATTTCCGTGCCCTGAGACCGACACATGCAAGCGGCCCAAATGACATAAGAATCAGTTGAAAGAAACGAGAAAATAAATTCACTCAATCGTACTTTTCGTCGAGTTGCGTATGTTTCGGTTTGGGAACACTTAATTTTACATGACATGTTTGTTTACGTTCCATAATTTACGTCAAAGATGGATTACGTCTCGTGTAAAAATAGTTATTTTTAAGTGTGTAATCATTCCCACTTTACATGTTTTGGAAGCTAACTAAGGTAGGAAGGTATAAAACACCCCCCCTCCTATGCAAAACTACTCCCCCCCCCTCCTGTGCAAAACGCCCCTTTGCGTTTCTACGAATACAGGCTTAATATGAATACAATACTGATGGGTAATCCAAGCAGTTCATGGGTCAACTCTGCTGTGCAAAATTCACAGTTGTCAATTGTCGCAAATAAATAATAAAAATAAAATCATAAAAAGCCCCCTGCCGGTGTAATTTTGTTTGCCATTTTGGTAAGTATATTTAAGTTAGCGCTTATTCCATTTTTGTGCTGTATCAGACATCTATAATAAATGCTCTGGGACATGTCACACCTTTGAGTGGCGAGTGGTTTACTATCCGTTTAGAATAGAGCATACAGCCTCTTTGTTATGGGAGCATATTATTTAATAGATGGCGCATATTGTCCCGCCAAATTGAAGATCCCAGAATTTTAGCGTATTAACTTCTATGTTAACTGTCACTGAAGAACATATTAATTACAAGTTATTGATAATTGTCAAAGCAATGGCTATACGTGATTATTCCGTTTATTAAAGTGAAACCCGTAAAAATATAGAATGGATTTTTGTTCATCTATAATGCGCGGGGCCTGGAAATGAACCCATGCATTTCTGATCGGTAAGCAAAAATGATTACCCCTAGGCCACCGAGCCACTTGTATCACAGAACAACCGAGTTGTTGTTATAACCGGTCAATCCCGTGAACGGCAGCCACGATGACAATAGCGACCATGGCGGTTTAAATGTAATATGAATAATACTTATAATTAAAGAGCACTGAATTCCAAAATCTAATCAACCCATAAGAATCAAAAATTAAACAAATCAATAATCAATATCAAGAATCCGAAAATCACAAGATTCAAGAACTATAATAATTCACTGTACATATCTATTTTCGCGGGAATCAATAATCACATGAGTTATGAATCTCAACAATCAAGAGTTACAAGAATCATGATTACAAAAAATTGATCCAGAAGCATTAAGAAGGACATGAACAATTAATCTAAAACATAGAGTCAAAGGAATAAAATGTTTATTGTAATTAAAATTAAAATTAAAATCAAAAGTCATTAACATTTATGTTTACAAAATTTAAGATTATCAAGTACTGTTCGTGCGTGGACTCTAATTGCCGGCCACCGGAGGTTTTTCTACCCGTTGTTTCAAACAACGGAGCCACAACTCTGGGAAAACGAAATTTCACCGCAGCAGCACTGATCTTCACAGTGCTATCTCTTAACGCACTATAACCACTTTCACGAAACAGTCCATAGGACAACTCACGCACTACGACCGACGGAACTTCCCGGTTTGGTCACAAACTCTGGATCGTTTCGGATGTGAACGAGGAAATTAATTTTATATTGTCTTGCACTGTATCTCACTTGATTACCTTTAGACGGTCGGGCGGACAAAGAAAACACGGGATAGATACCGAACGCATGAATTGGATGTGAAATGGAGTTCCTGAATGCGGCCACGGCGAGCGACGAAGCGACGGAGAGCTAAAAGAAATGCTGGCGTAGAGAGGTCTGATACCAGTTCAATATGAACGGCTCTTGTGGTGAAACATACGAAGATCGCAATATATGCTTTGATAGGTGCGCTGCTACGCACTGGGGACTTGAGAAATATTGGGCCACAATAATCTACGCCACTATTTGAGAATGGGCGAGCTAGTACGACACGAGACCTTGGCAGATCAGCAGTGCTTTGCTTGACGAGAATCGGCTTGGTGCGGAAACATTTGATGCATCGGTGATAGGTGTAGCGAACAAGATCTTTCCCTCCAATAATCCAGTATTGCTGGCGTATGGTGGATAACATCAGCTGGGGTCCAGCGTGGAGGAGTGTCTTACGATAGTGTTCAGAAAGCAAACGAGTCAACGGATGCTTGGCCGACAGAATGATAGGATGTTTGCGTGCTTCTGGAACATCAGCGTTGGCAAGTCGCCCACCGACACGAATAAGTCCGTCGTCGCTGAGGTATGGATGTAACCATTTCAACGGAGGAGTGTTCACAATTGCTGAGCTGCTGAGATCTGCTAATTCTTCTGAATAGAGCTGTTGTTGAGCTAAACGGACCAAGACACAGCCGGAGGCTGTCAGATCAGCTGTTGTTAGAAGTAGTGATGATTCTTCCGCGGACTTCCGCACTACAGCACTAATCGAATGAATGTACTTGACGCAGTAGGCAACTACTCGGCGCAGCTTGGTATACGAAGAATAGCGGGAGAATAACTGATCGACGAACTGGTTTTCATCGGGAGCTAGTGATACTAGGGTGATCTTGCGTGTTTCTTCAACGATTGTTGAAAATTCTTCTTCAGGAACATTCGCATGTGGCCAGTGGTTCAAAGGCTGTGATAACCATGGCGGCCCGTTCCACCATCGTGACTGGTTTCGAAGTTCGGTAGGTGTCAAGCCACGAGAAAGTTCATCTACTGGATTTTCACTACCGGCAACGTGTCTCCAAGTATGCCCCTCTGTATTCTACTGAATCATTGATACTCGGTTCGCGACGAAAGTTTTCCAGCGGTTCGGTGATGATTCAAGCCAGTGCAGAACAGTAGTGGAGTCTGACCAGAAGAAGACTTCAGGGGTGAACCTGATCGAGTGTTCCACCTATTGGAAGAGTCTAGTTGACAGAACTGCAGCGCAGAGTTCTAGTCGAGCGATGGAGTGCTTGGTAGCAAGCGGCGCCACCTTTTATTTAGACGTCAGAAGATGTACAAGGATTCGCTCATCACTCTCGGATCGGACGTAATAGCAAGCCCCGTAGGCTGACTCTGATGCATCGGAAAACAAATGCAATTGCATCCGAGGAGTAGCGGCGAAAGAAACAAAGCGGGGATCGTAACTCAGATAGCACGTCAAGCATTGCATGGTATGATTTCCATTCGTCCTGCATCTTCGATAGAAGAGGTCTATCCCACTCGTATGGATGATCATCGTCTGTCTTCAGCTTCCACAGTCGTTGCATAAATATTTTTGCTGTCACGATAACAGGACCAACAAGTCCCAGAGGATCGAAGTTTCGAGCAATATAGGAAATCACCTTGCGCTTGGTGAGAATCGATGCTGCAAGTGGCATCTGAACATTGAAGCGAAGCATGTCTGTTCTTGTGTCCCAAATTAATCCCAACGTTGACACTGACTGATCGTGAAAAGGTTGAATTGCTAGGTCCTCGGGTGGGAAGTCTTCCAAGACTTTCGGTACGTTTGACGCCCATTTTCTCAACGGAAAACCGGCTGACACGAGCATGGCAGTAATTTGGCGACGTTTTTCGATTGCGGATTCGAGATTTCCCGCACCCGAGAGAAGATCATCTACGTAAAAATCCTCAACTACGGCTTCCACTGCTTCTGGATACTTGTCGCCTTCGTCTTTCGCCAGTTGTTGAAGTGTCCGTGTTGCCAAAAACGGAGCAGAAGCGGTGCCGTACGTAATAGTAAGCAGTTCGTACGTATAGAGAGGATCAGTCGGGCTTCGGCGAAATACGATTCGTAGGAAGTGTTGATCGCTGGGAAAATGGAATACTTGTCGGTAATTTT